ATTATAATTTTATCTTCTATATCCTGAATTTAGCTTTTATTTTGGTGATCTGGATTCTTCTACTGGAGTTAGGGTTTGGGTGGTCTTGCTTTTCCAGCTTCCTTAGGTAATTTGTTAGGTTGTTAACTTGTGTTCTTTCCATTTTTTTCATGTGTGTTCATAGTGATATGAATTCCCTTCTTAGTACTGTTTTCATGGCATCCCAGAGATTTTGGTAAGATGTTTCTTTATTTTCATTTGTCTCCAGGAATCTTTTCATCTTTGTTTTGATTTCTGTGTTGACCCAGAAGTTGTTCAGCATCATGCTGTTTGGTGTCCATATCTTTGTGGGTTTTGGTGGAACTTAGTTGGTGTTGATATTTATTTTTATCGCACTGTGATCAGAGAAGGTGCATGGCAGTAATTCAATCTTATGGAATTTGTTTATGCTTGATTTATGGCCAAGGATGTGGTTGATCTTAGAGTACGTTCCATACTGTGATGAGTAGAATGTATATTCTGTGGTTGTTGGGTAGAGTGTTCTGTAGGTATCAATTAAGTCCATTTAGTCAAGCATCACATTGAGGTTCTGGATCTCCAGAGTACATTCCATGTGCTGATGAGTAGAATGTATATTTTGTGGTTGTTGGGTGGAGTGTTCTGTAGGTATCAATTAAGTCCATTTAGTCAAGCATCACGTTGAGGTTCTGGATCTCCTTTTTGATTTTTTGTCTTAATGATCTATCTAGGGCTGTTAAAGGGATATTTAAGTCCCCAGCTATGATAGTGTTAGAGACAATATATTTTTTTAGTTTACCTAGAAATTGCTTTATGAAAGTTGGTGTTCCTATGTTCGGTCCATATATGTTTAAGATGGATATTTCTTGTTGGTGAATTGAACCTTTTATCATTATGTAGTGACCTTATGTATCTTTTTTAATTTTTGATAGCATAAAGGGTATTTTGTCTGATATTAACAGCACCACTCCTGCTTTCTTATGTGTTCTATTCACCTGAAATTTTGTTTTCCATGCTCTTACTTTGAGTCTGTGAGTGTCCCTTCTGGTGAGATGAGTCTCTTGGAGACTATATATTGTTGCATCATGATATCTTATCCAATTTGCCATTATATGTATTTTCAGTGATGCATTTAGTCTATTCACATTGAGGCAAATTATTGAGATGTGAGAGTCTATCCCTGTCATGATGTCCTTATAGAGTTTGTTGTTGTTGCTGCTGTTTATTTGTTTGTTGACTTTCTTTTGATTTGGGGGTTCATTCATGTGAATTTTCAATCTTTTTCCCACATTCTTGGGAAGGGTGTTGTCGGTCTTTTTTCCATTCTTCTGTGTTTAATACTTTATTAAGCGTTTCTTGTATAACTGAACTGGAGGCAGCATAAACTCTTAGGTGTTGAATGTCTGGGAAGGATTTTAATTCTTCATCACTAATGAAACTTAGCTTAGCTGGGTAGGTAATTCTTGGTTGAAATTGTTTGTTTTTGAGAACTTTGAAGATTGGGCTCCAAGCTCTCCTAGCCCAATGTGTTTCTGTAGATAAGTCTGCTGCTATTCTAATTGGTCTTCCATATTAGGTAGTCTGACCTGTCTCTCTGGCTGCCTTTAGGATTTTTTCTTTTATATCTACTTTGTGTGGGCAAATTTTTATGTGTCTAGGAGTCAGTCTTCTCACTTGTTGTCTTCCAGAGGTTCTCTAAATCTCTTGTTTGAATGGTCGTATCACTGATGAGATGAGGGAAGTTTCCTTGGATAATTGTATGGAATGTTTGTTCCAGGGTGGTCTCTGTCTCTCTATCTACCTCAGGTATTCCATTTAATCTTAAGTTTACCCTCTTGATATAATTGCTCATCTCTTGGATGTTTTGTTCTGTCTTTTTAAGCTTCTTTTCTATGTTTTTAACAGTTTGGGTTAGTTCCTCATTTTGGTCCTCAAGCTCTGAGATGCTTTCTTCTGCTTGGTTAATTCTGCTTTCCGTGCTTATCAGTTTACTATTTATTTCATTCGCTGTATTCTTGATTGCTGTTGTCTCAGTTATCAACTCCTTCATTCTTTTGTCTTGTCTCTCCTCATTTCTATTTATTCTCTCTATTAATATCTTGCTATCTGTGTTTGTGGTTTGAGACCAGTCATTCTGGGGCTTTTCACTGTTTGATTTCCGAAGTCTGTGTTCTCAGTGGCTGTCCTCGCAGGAGTTTGTGTGAGACACATATTCTTCCTTTGATTTTTCTTCATTTGTGTAGGTTTTCCTCTCCCTTTTTTAACCTCTTCTTTAATTCTGTTGTTCAGTGATGGGGGGGATAGCTTTTATTTCCGTTTGCTCAATCTCCTATTCTTTCTTATGTATATCCTCTGGCTCTGTTCAATTCTGAAGCTGGACTGGGGGTGAGGGAGTCTGTGCTTTTTGCAGTTTTGATATTTAATTAAGAGGGGAGCTGTGATTCAGAAGCTATCTGCAGATCCCAGTATCTACTACTGACAGGTGTGTGGGCTCCCTGGAACCCACTTCCCACTGCCTTACACCCTGTCCATGCAATGAGGGTGTCCGTTTGCCCCTGAAAGAAAAATGAGATAAGAAAAAGGAAAAGAATGGAAAAAGGAATGAGGAAGACAAAAGGAAGGTGGAGAGAGAGAAGAAGAAGAGGGAAAACAGATAGGTGTACCAACTAACGAATAAACAGAGAAACAAACAAAGACAGAAAACAAAAACAAAAGCATACAGACAATCATACAAGCAAGCAAACAAAAGCCTCCCTGTTGGTGTACTCTCCCTAAAAAGTACCCATACACAAACAGAAAACCTAAAAAAAAAATTAAAATAACAGAAACAAAGTGTAAACAAAAACAGAAAGAGAGAGAGAAGAAAAAAAACTAACAAACAAGAAAAAAACTCACTCCTTGACCGATTCTGTAACTCCAGGTTCCTCTTGGCTGCCACAAGCTTAAGGAGCAGCTCCATTCTCTAGCCCCTCCCCTCTGCTATCAGCACAGGCTGATAGGGTTGCTCTCAGCATGGGTCAGATGTCTCAGTCCTACTGTGGGAGGAGGGTGGATCAGATCCTGACTCACCCGGCTTGCTTCCTGTCAAGTCTCCCACTCAGACCTGATGTGTCTCTACCTGTTCCAGCATGGGGAAGTGGTATCTGTCTCTCCAAGTCTGATGAAAGGATAGATAGCCTCTGGGTCCTGGATTGGAGGCTGGGAGGAGCTGGGCGGGACAATGAAGGTCTCTGCCCTTATGGGGACTGAGAAGGTGGTGCCTTTCAGCATCTAGTCACCTGCCCTGGGGCTTTGTTCCAGATTTCAGTGACTTGCCCTCTCCACAGTTCCTCCTGCTCCTGCTGGGTCTGCTGCTGCAGGTGATGGCATAGGCTGGGTGCCTGGTGGTAAGGGACCACAGTTTTCTGCTGCCACCTCTCAAGAGAGGCCTGAGAATGCCAGATGATCCTGCATGCTGGGAGCTCCTATCTAAGGGTAGTAGCGGGTTGCAGTCACCTCCAGAGGAAAGCCCCAGGTGCATGAACTCGTGTCTCCCCCCTGATGGACTTTCACTCACCCACCAGAACTCACACAGAGTCTTTATGGACACTCACTTTTGCAGAGACTCTCACATCCCAACCTATTCCATCACCATCTTGCCCAGAAGCCCCATTCCATATTTTCTTTCCTCACATTAATTCTTGCCTCTTCATGAGTTGAGTTGTGTTCTCTGGATGGTCCATATTTTCTTCCCCTGACATTAATTCTTGCCCCATCACAAGTCGGGTTGTATCTCTGGTTGTTCCATAATTCCCTAATTACAGTATCTATTTTCCAAGGATTAAAACTCTTTCAGGATCTTTTTAGACCCTCCCATAAACCTGGAATAATAGTTGAAAATGCTATTGGTGTCCAGTGATTTCTTGGTGAATGAGTGAATAGATCAATCCATCAATCGTAGTGTATCTCTTTGGCACAGAGAACATCATTATGTTGCAAATACGGAGATGCCATGCAGCAGGACAGTTTCCCACCATGACTCATTGCTATAGCTTCCCTCTTCTTGAGTTACTATTTTGAGTTTCAATAAGAAGCAAGTAATCTTATCTTGAAAGGGGAACTGGATTTATTTTTAATAAGAAAGGCTGAACTGGGAGCTTGCATTTTTCCCCCAAAACTTAATAAGAGCACTAGAAAAGCCCTGCACTCCCCAGCTGGCCTCATTTTAGAAGAACAAAGTCACCAGGTAAGCTTCTTTCATGACGTAAAAGTAAGCCCCACATCACCAAACCTGCTTAAATTCATGGAGAGCCAGAGGAGGTCACGCAGCAACAGCATGTCATTCAAACAAGTGTTCAGGACCTAGGATTGGGCAAAGGAACTGAGGGGAAACACAAGGCTTCTCAGAGCCATTGTCCTCAAACATGGGGTCCCTGACGGTGGCCACTGACATCCTCAGGCAGTACAGAAGCCATCTTGATCTCATCCCCTTCCTCCATTCACAACTAAAACACAACACAAATATGTAAGTAAAGTATGTCTCTATTATGCCCAGAACCACAATTTACTGAACTGGGATTTCACCCTTCACCCTGATACTGTGAAGTCAAGGCGTTAGTTTACACTTGCCCTGCTGGTAAGGCTTAGGCTTCTCATTTTGTCAGTATACTTTGAATGATATACTGTGTGTCATATACATTACACACACACACACACGTACACACATGTACATACTATGTATGTTATAACACATGCACTCTAATTTCCTTTGGCAATTGTCTAACAGGTTCTGCGTAGGTATCTTCTCCCTAGGTTTAGTATTGGGTCTTATAACCTGGGCCAGGAAAAGAAAGGTAAGTTTTGCAGAACACCTGTCATGTCTTGAATACTGTCGCAGTTACTGTGGGGTCTGTTCTCCATATCATGTCTCTTGATTGCCTGTTGGTCCATTCCTGGCTGCCTCTGAACCATTCCAGAGCCCGTGGGTGATGGCTGCTGTTGAGTTTGTCTGTCCTGTTCCACAGGCTGCCGCAGTCCTGAAGGTTGATGGAGGGCCATGCTATTCAAACAGCAGGCGTGGCTGAGACAGAAGCTGCTGGTGCTGGGAAGCCTTGCCCTTGGGAGTCTCCTGTATCTAGTCGCCAGAGTTGGGAGCTTGGATAGGTGGGTGCCTGACTTCATACTGATGCCCGTGTGAGCTTAAGTGAGTCTTGATTCAAACTTCCTTAGGACATCATCTTAAGTCTATCTGTTGGTTTTTCTCTCTCAAAACTCCCCAAAAATGTGCCTTTCTGCAATATTGCTCTTGATTTATTGAGTCTTTGAAAGAAAGACATCCAAGCTGCTCAAGCCAAGGTGTTCCATCAAGACACATTTGTATTCTGTGTGCATGGGCACTTGTTCTCAGAGAAGGGATAAAGCTGTGTACAGTCAAAATGTCATTTCCGAGAGCTCCGTGTGGTCTGTGTGCATCTGCTGCTGGTCCAGCTGTGGTAAGCTCAGTGATGATGCATCTATGTGTCCTCATTTTGAAATTTATGAGTGGACAATTAATGTGCTATCAGGAGCGTTCACGTTACCAGGAGTCTCTAAAGGGCTCATCAGGCTTGCAATCCATCGCCCTGGAAAGATGGCTTCAGGCCTGGGGAGCTTTCACTGTGTTAATTAGCTTTGGTTTTCAGGAGCTGAACAGACCAGAGGAGAGGCTGTCACTCAGAATAATTGCACAGAAAGCAATGGAAAATCCAATGAGAGAAAGTGACAGAGGAGGGGTTCAGTTCAAAACAGGCAAACGGTTGAGAGTTAGTCAGCCTGCAGAAGTCCCAGCCACACCAGCCGGCTTCCCATTCCATGTTTTTGGACTGTTCTATGTCTGGGCTGATTGGCAGGTATAGAGAAGTTACCTTCTGAAATATGAAGCTTCCATCTTTGTCCTTTAAAATTAATTATCGCACTCGGAAGACTGAAGTCTGCTCTCCCTGAGTTAAATTCTCATAGTCAGTGAAAACACAGCTACACTTTAAAATGGAAATTGTTTCTTTCAGCTTTCCTTTTCCTTCCAAAATTTAGGCTAATCCTAGATCCCATCACTTAGATATTCAGAAATAACATAGTCCTTGTTTACCTTCATCCAGTCAATTTTGACTGGCAAAGTGAACTGCTATGAAGCTTTTCAGTTCAAAATTCATAAGTAAATGTCTTGTTCACGAGCCATGACCTGTGAGGACAATGTAACTAGAGCTTATCACTGACTTCAAGTCCAAAGTTACTCTTGGTCATTAATGAGAAGCCTGGAGGCTCAACCATGGTCCAGTGTCCATAATGAAACTTTTCTGTCCAGCTCTTCCAACTGACCTTTAATTCACTTCCAATCATTTACTTTTTATTGAGGAATTGATCTAATGATCACTAGCATTATTTAGGAAAATGATTCTGTTCATTTTCAATCCAGTCTCTAGTCTCTAAGAGGCTAGCTTTTATAAGAAATGAGTTTGCTTGGTGGGCTTTCTCAAAACTTCCCACTTGAGAGTTTGAGCAGATGATGTCTGATATTGATGCATGTGTGGGCACCCCCTCCAGTAACTGCTGACCCCACTCTCTGGGAAGGAGGCAAAAGTGACTTCTACTGCCCTTTCCATTTCCAAAGTTGTAAGATTTGTAGTCCTAGACCCATGCACAAAATCTGTGCTTTAGGAGGTGGGAAAGAGTATGACTTTTTCTCATACTCTCATCCCCTTTCTTGAGTTAGAGAGTCCAAAAAGAATTGTTCTCCCAGGATCTCCCAGTCTAGAAAGTAGAGAGAGAAAAGAAAGTAGAGAGAGAAAAGAAAGAATATGGGCCTTTCTAGAAGCAGAGAAATTCTATTTCAGCTCCAACAAGGCAGAGACTATCTATGTCAGCCTCTTTCAGCTGGGATTCTATGAGAGAATTAAGCCCTACAGAAAAGAATTTGAGTGACTATTTCTTCATTTTTCCTAAGGACAATACTAGTGTTATTCTAGGGACTTAGAAGAGAAATCCATCAACAGATGCAAATTAGGGATTAATTTTCAACCAGAACCCGAGAAGAGCTAAAAGATGAATCTGTGATATCACAATCAATGTCACAATTAAAAACATCTTTGACTATGTATCTGTTGGAAATATTAAATCTTCCATTTAGAGCCTTAGCATAATAATCACACTAACAAACTTACTGAAAAAAATCATGTTTCTCTAAAATAGTCATAGCCTCATTGCCACAGAGAGGGAGACACAAACTTCCAATCTTAGAACAACTAGAAGGTTTCCCATTGGAGGAACTGGCCATTTTGACTGATATTATCTCTTTCTAGCAAGAAAACTAAAACGCCTTCCCAGATCAACTTAGGAAAATTATAATGAATTTCTCACCAAGAGCAACTTGCCAGATTAAACAGTCACTCCAGTCCAATATCAGTGTGACTGTTACCACATCTTTCTCTCTGATAAAAGCAGAGGCTGGCCATCCATTATTCAGGGTAAGACCCAAGAGGAGACCCCCCTCTCTGGCTGTATCCATCATATTCTTTTCTTTGTGAGCCTGAGGCCCTGCTTTAAGTGGACTTGGCCAGGCAGCACTGAGGTTTCTGGTCTGGCAGGGCTCGGTGATTTCTGGTCCTAGGTGTGGTGGGTGATAAACAGCCTTTGTGAATGGCAATGGGATTTGATCTTATAGTCAACAAAGTGGAAAAACAATCCTGACATCTTTAGCTAGAAAGAGAAAAGAGAGGCAGAAGAAATAGTGTCCTTCACTGCCTATGCCCAAGGCCAAGGGCAGAGATGCTCACAGAATGAAAAGTTCAGTGAGTGCCAAAGTTGGAATTCTGCAGGTTGATGATGCAAATAGCCCAGGGCAGAGACTGGGACCTCTCTTCAGATTATATCTCACAGAGTTTTAAGAGCCCCATGAGCACTACAGAGCTGCAAGAAAATAATACATAAAACCAAAAACGCGTGCCTCCTAGCCGCCCTTCAGCCTCTGCTGAAGATGATTATCTTCTGCCTTTCACGTTTTCCAAATGATTTTAGCTGGTGAGCTGTTAAAAGGCCATTAGTATGGCTGGTGTCACTTGTCTATCCTGTACTGTGAATGTAAGTACACGCTGTAGTCAATTAAGTGCTTGGTGAATAAAAATTTTAAGGAGCACTAAAAAAAAACTCATCAATTATGTGAGCTCCATTTATTACAGTATTGCTTAAAATAAGATTTCCCAAACATATGTTCATTATGGATTGCATTGAGTTGGGAAGCAGTGGTTTTATTTGTGCATATAAGTTTTGATATGGCTGGAGCACCAAAAACATGAGACGTCAGTCACCGTAAGCTTCTGAAAGTGTCTCTCTTGCTTGCAGGCTCCAACCTATCTGCCCCATTGAAGGCCGGTTTGGTAGTGCCCACAGCCAGGTCGAGTTCCCCATCCGTGCCCTGCAGTCCAAGCGTGGCCTGCTGCATGAGTTCCGGAAGGGCAACGCTTCCAGGGAGCAGGGTCGCCTCCATGATCTGGTCCAGCAGCTCCCCAAGGCCATCATCATTGGCGTGAGAAAGGGAGGCACCAGGGCCCTGCTGGAGATGCTTAACCTCCACCCAGCGGTGGTCAAGGCCTCCCAGGAAATCCACTTTTTTGACAATGATGAGAATTACGCCAAGGGCATGGAGTGGTACAGGAAAAAGATGCCTTTCTCCTACCCTCAGCAAATCACAATCGAGAAGAGCCCTGCGTACTTCATCACGGAGGAGGTCCCCGAGAGGATCTACAAGATGAACTCATCCATCAAGCTGCTGGTCATTGTCCGGGAGCCCACCACGAGAGCTATCTCGGATTACACTCAGGTGCTGGAGGGGAAGGAGAGGAAGAACAAGACCTACTACAAGTTCGAGAAGTTGGCCATAGACCCCAACACCTGCGAAGTGAACACCAAATATAAGGCAGTGAGGACCAGCATCTACACCAAGCATCTGGAGCGATGGTTGAAATACTTTCCAATTGAGCAGTTTCATGTCGTTGACGGTGACCGCCTCATCACGGAACCACTGCCGGAACTTCAGCTCGTGGAGAAGTTCCTGAACCTCCCTCCCAGGATAAGTCAGTACAATCTGTATTTCAACGCGACCCGAGGGTTTTATTGCTTGCGATTTAACATTATCTTTAATAAGTGCCTGGCGGGCAGCAAGGGGCGCATTCATCCAGAAGTGGACCCCTCTGTCATTACCAAATTGCGCAAATTCTTTCACCCTTTCAATCAAAAATTTTACCAGATTACCGGGAGGACATTGAACTGGCCCTAAAGTCACATGCCATGCAACACTGTGTGTTGTGCCTGGAGGTACCCAATGTCTCCTCTAGATTAAAATATGCACCTTTCCTAGACACAGTTATCCAAGTCATTTTTCCATGTATATGTGTACGTACGCAGTGTGTGACCAAATATAAGAGCAGTTTTTTTCCTACTGAAAATTTACAAAAAAAAATTGCTGTCTGCATAGTTGCAACTTTTAAGCTATTTACAAAAAAAAAGAGGTGGTGGTATCGGGGAAAGTGACTCTAGCTATTCTCAGAGTTTGTCTTCCTTTGATTCAGAATCTGTCACCCGCCATTTTCATAGATTTACGCCAAAAGATAAATGTGTGAAAACGTACCAATGGCTTCGAGGCTTCAGAAAGCAGAGGATCCAGTGATGCATTTTTTTTCTATGGGAAAGTTGGCTCTTTAATTCAGTTGCTGAATTGGTGCCATGAACACAGAAAATGCTATTTTCTTATTATTTAAAAGAATGTCTTATCTCCTAAAATCAACACTGTTCCAAAGTCCCCGTGGTGATTTTGCACTATTGTTTTATTGTATGGACCATGTGTCACGTGTAGCATGTCAGTCACATGTTGGAAAGTCAAGTCCTTTACTTCCATGTTGTATGTTAACAGAAAAAACACCGTGTACATAGTGTATATGGGTGTAAATACTGGTTTCACACTAAGTAATTCTATTTTGTAAACCAAATATGGCTATTTAATTTATTGTGGAAATTAAATTTATTGTGGTATTTAAAATGGAATGGATTAAAGTTACTCTACGTGCACTTTTTTTTTTTTTACTCATTTTGTTTTACATGCCCCCTGCTGGCTTCAAACACAGAAACTGTTAATATGTATATGAGAGCGTGTGGAAAGATGTGCTTCTCCCCTGGATCTCTGTATCCTTGTGAAAATGTATTTATGAAGTGAGGTTGAGGATATTTAAAAAAAAAAAAAAAAACCTCAACCATCTGGAAATCAAGTATAATAGCCACCTCAAAGAGTCCTACTGCTGCTCTGCTTCAGCGTTGTATCAACTAATTTACTTGTAGTTGCGGCTATGCCGGGAGGAGACGGGGAATTCTTTACCAAATCAAGGCATAGCGGAATCACAGCTTTATTTGAGCCTCTAATCAGAGTCAGACCAGTAGAGAAATTAAATAAGATTAGAAGGCTGTGTGGCCTCTGTACTGGAAGCTGCTGATGCTTCAAAAAGGAATACAGACTCTAAGGACTCTCTCTCAGCTGAAAATAGATCCGCCTGCTCAGACATGATCAAATTGCATAGTGTTTCTATTATTAATGCAAACGTTTATGGCTCATATTTCCATCCAGAGAAATGAATGCTAAATTAGTGTCTTACCCACATCAGATACATTGTATTATGTTTAAATATAATTCAGGAAAATATGGAAAGAGGTATCAACAACAACCAAAAAAAAGATGATTTTTTCACAATTCCAGTTGCCAATCCAGTGGCTGACATTTGAGAGAGTTTTGTTCAACATCACAGCAAGCACCTGGGGAGATTAGCAACCTCAGATGAATTCCCCTCTGGTTGTAATGAGTGTGTATTCTCTCACAAGCTCTCTATCCTGTCCGGTGACTTGATGGTAAACTTTTTCTGAATAAACAGCCCTCTCCCCTCCTGTGTCGTACATGTTACTTCTCAAGCCACAGCCTAGGTCACTATATGAAGACTCTCAGCATGACACAGGCCTGACACCAACACTTCTCGCCAGTCAGGCAGGCTCCTCCCTTCCTGTGTGACCAATCCAATGAAAGCCTCAGGTCTAAGCTGCTTCTTCCCTAAACCAGGAATGCAGTCAGGAAGGAACCTGGGGTCAGATTTTCCCTGCATAGTCTCTCAGCTAAGAGTCAACTCCATGAGTACATTATCACTGTATTATCACTATTTTCATAATAGTATTACTAGAGCCCTATATGGCTAATTTGATTTTGTACCAGTACCTGTCAAATGATTCCCCATTGGAACACTGACGTTTTAGAAACTCAGCCCAAGTATTGCACCAGTAAAGTTGCAAAATGGTGTGTTTTTGGTTTTGTTTTTTTCCCAGATTCATATAGAGGAATAAAAAAAAAGTCAATGAATTCAAATTTCTCAGGAATCCTCTTTTATTTTACCAGTGTTGCTTAAACTTTGCTACTGCTACCAGTAACGTATATCAGAGTTTATTCTAAGATTCTATTTGATTGATGCCGATTTTTATAATGTGTTACCTTTAGCTCAGTGTGCTAGTCTTTCTTCAAATTTGGGGACTGGGAAGAACCACGTGATTTCTCGTTTTTTCACTTCCTATGTTTGAGAATTATCTTAAACCTTGACATTTCCCCTACAGGACCCAAAGCAAGAAACTTACCTTTAGAGGATTTGGGGTGTGGCAGGTTTCATTTCACAGATAAAAACAGCCACGATTCACTGCTGATTGAGCTAGGCAGAGAAAAATTAAAATGCTATGACTTAACAGCATACCTCCCTTGGAGATTTTAAGCCTCCTTGTTGGAAAAACGTGTCCTTTGCCATCAGATGGGGCAACAGACCTCCAGGAGATCTTCAGTTCATGACAGTGGCTCCCCTCCAGCTCCCGTAATAAGTGACTTCTTGGACATGACCACTTTGCATTCCTTCCAGAAATGTGGTGGTCCGCATGGCTTTGTGAAACAGTTGTAGCTGTCAAGAGAAAACTGTTCGAGCCGCAATGGAGCTTCTGCTGGAGTAGACAACTGAAACTACACCATTTTCGGAAGCCAAGGAATCCCAATCGTAATCATTAACAAATAGCCCAAGAGAGGTAAAGGAGAAAGAAAAGAAACATGCAGACCTCTGAACAGGTATCCTCACATTCCAAGTCTGTCTCCTAGTCATCTGAAACCACCCACATAAACCCCTAACTGATGAAGGTACTGACTTTTCTTACTAACTGCAGTAGAGAATAGGTAAGTGCTTAGCATGTGGTACAGCAAAGGCTGTAAGTTCTCCCGAGGCTATCCTGCCTGAGTTTAGATTCAGTTTCTTTCCTATTGGTGGATCAAGGGGTGAGAAGAGTCATGCTTTGTCAGCCCAGGCTCTACCCCAAGGCCTGGAGCACCAAGCCCACCTAGATGAAGCCCACCTGGAACATGAGTACCAGATGCAGGCATCACCTGGGACACTGCAAATGCATTGCAGCGAAGGGAAAGTGGGAGCCAGGGACACGTGCATCCAACCCCAGCCTTGCCCATAACGTTTGCCTATAACGTTAGCAGCTGTTTGCTAAATCAAATTGCCTTCATGAGCCTAATTTGAGAAGTTTCCAGAGATGGGGAATTTCAGGTGTTCCTAGCGTCTTCCCTTATCTACTGAGGATAACCATCTACAGTCTAGGGAAAAAAGGAAATTTTGAGGAAAAAATTCCCCCTTAAAATGTCTAAATACAGCAAAAGCTTAGCCATTTGGTCTAACAAGGTAAAAATATAGAACATTTAAAAACAAATTTATTGCAATTATTGCCAAGTAAACAAAGAGAGAAGCTATATTAACAATATATTGGAAAATACCCAACTGTGCCTGCTTTACCAAATAAAAGTCTTTTAATTGGCATATTGTTTTTCCAAATTGGTATTATTCGAGTAATTCAAAGCAGTCTGTCCCCTTAAGTGGGTTAACCAAACCCCTAACATCTGTTTATCAATTTTTATAGCTCAACTCTCTTTTATAGCAAGTATAAGAATGAAATTTAGGCCAATATATGATCATTTCATAAAGTTCTAATTAATGATGCTTTACTACACTGCTCCCAAAAACAATTTCTTTACATTTATGCTTTTGAAAGTGTCTTTTCAATTACATTTTATTGCACCTGTTAGGAATGAGCATGCTGGTTCACAATGATTCAAAACGGACTGGGGAGTTGAGAAGGCAGAACTGCACTGATAGCAATATGCATTTCCCGTAGAAAGCACCTGATGGGTATTCCAAAAACAAGTGCCTGTTATTTAAAGGTGGCTCAGTGGCAAAGTCAGACCTGTAGGCCATATCAGGTAGGCAGTGGCAGGCTTGCTGCCTTTTCCATTTAGTTCACCAGTGGAACTTAGGAGCCATTTCCGTCTACCAGAGTTCTGGGAGCTGTTGGCGAAAAAGTTTCTTGTTTCTAAACATTCAGGTTACCCCCTTCAAAAACAATTGCCCAGAAGGTGAGGAGCTCCCAACAGTAACACTTTCAAAGAAGTGCCTCCCCTTTTATAGGTCTAAATGCACACACCTCTGCTTTTGTCTGATGAACCAGAGAACATCTTTAAGACCCACTGAAAAGCACTTGTTTCCTTGGTCAGGCTGCACTCAGGGTGGCCTGAAGGTCTGGGTATAAACAATGAAAGAGTTTGTGATTGCTGCATGCCAAGTCATCTGACACTAGGTCCTGGAAATAAATGTATTCATCTCTTTAAAGGTGAGATTTCTAGCAGCACCAAATAACAATGTTACCACACCAGGCAGAATTAGTGATGTGAACAGGTGAGTCACAGTTTAGAAGCTACAGGGGGGAAAAAAGCAAATTACTTGGCCTGGAGGATTCATGGAAAGCTTCGATGAGGCCATGTTGAAAGATTGTCACGTGTCACCGAGCATACAAACAGGAAAAGTGTACTCCAGGGTGAGGAAAACAGGAGAGTAAAAACATGAAGTGCAAAGAAGACCAGCAAACCCACCACAGCAGGACAGTTGGCCATAAGTCACAGGAGGCAGAAGATAAGAATGAAAACTGCAAGGCCTAGACTGGTGGCTCACACCTATGGTCCCAGCTACTCAAGAGATTGAGGCAGAAGGATCACTTAAGTCTAGGAGTTTAAAGCTCCTATGAATGCACCACTGTACTCCTCTAGCCTGGGTGACAGAGTGAGGCTTCGTCTCAAAAAAAGAAAAGAAAAAAGAATGGAAACTGCACCAGAGCTTCCTACAACTGAACGAATCCTTTCACCCTAGCCCTGAGGGGCCCTGCCAGGTACCCAGGCCAGGTCTACCACTGCACCCAGCTGGCCCCTAGAGGCTAAGGTTGAATATAGACAAGAGATGATAACATTAACATCCCCAAGGTTTTCTTTAAGGACAAGGAGATCTAACAACCATGGAAGTCATCACTCCCCTTCCCACAGCCTTCTCTCCTCTGTGGTTCCTGTATCCCTCCTCCCAGCCGCTTGCTTTGCTGCAGCTGACAGGAGCTCTGTGTCTGTGTACTGTCTGCCCCCAAGATTGAGGAAAGGGTGTTGTTTCCAGCCCAGCTCTGTGGGTATACCAGCCACGGAAGTGTTACAGCATCTCCAGGAGTGGAGTGCCTTGGTGGGCCCCACCTATCCTGAGACTGTGCTGGGAGTTGGGGGAAGGAAAGAAAACCAAGCAACACTCCCCTGCAAGAGACGCAGAAAGTGTGCACAGAAATGGCTGGGAAATACTGGGGTGCCCAAAAAACTGTACACACATTTTTAAAGATGTTAAGAGATGTTCACTGTCATCAGAAGTGTCTGGACGCTGATGGCAACCACTTGAGCACCTCTTGTCATTGAAGTCAAACATGACTTGTATTCATCTTTTGTTATTGGTATATATTGAGTATTAAAATTTTAATACAGATTTTTCCTTTCTTAAAATGTGTATCCTATTTTGGCACCCTCTGTATACTTCTTTCATTACAAATACAGCTGTGCTGTGTGTCACATAAAAATGGGGACACAGTCTTAGAAATGCATTGTTAGTGATTGTGTGAACATAATATGTGTGCACGTACACAAA